CTGCATGTTGCCTGTCAGCCCTGTGACTGTTGCAGCAGAGACACAAGTTAGGTTAAGCTCTCACGACATGTCTAATGTCCTTTTCATTTCATTGGGACAGATTAAATTGTTTGTACAATAATGCTTGATGACATCTAAATTGTTGCAGACCACCATGAAAAAATAGCCTTTTGGAGGCGCAGTCCTGCTCTATAATGGATCTAATGCAGGGTTTTGGTTTTACCACTGTGATGGCCCAGAATGGGCCGAGAGAAAAAACAAAAACATATTAAAGGAAAACCACAATAGTTTAAGAGCAACATAGGCTCCCAGCAAACACATTGTTGCTTTTGTTAAAAGTGAATGTATGTATATGTATTTATGTATATTTTATATAATCTTATATTATAAACATTTTATTTTACAAATTTTTTTATTTATGAAAAAAGTTTAAAATGTTCAAAAATTTATATATTTACAGAAATGCAGCTTCTCGGGGATTAGAGGAAAATTCAGGCAAATAAATAAATTAAGAATCTGTGAAAACATTTGAAAATTCCTGTTTATCAACACTTTTCAAATCAAACAGAGTTTGGGCTCTGTTGCAAATAACTCCCCTCTGAAGGGGACAAAACTTGTTCTTTTATTTGTGTACTCCATCCCAGTTTTACAGACTGATTGATCAAAAAAGAATCTAAATCAGTTTTAAATAAGTTTTATGTAGTTTTCTCCCGTTTATAGACTGAATGCATAAATGCGTTCATTGTTAGCCTGACATGAGAAGAACATCAACCTTTTCACACTTCAGTAACTCTATTTGACCCGAGTTCACTCACACAGATTGAAGTATTAGGTTACACAATGGCTGTGGGATTAGGGGTCAGATTTTGATGACGTCTTTTAAAGTTTCCAATTGGTGAAAAAAGAACAAAAGCAATTGAGGTCATATTTTCTGGCTTTTCAGCTTTACCTAAAAAATAACTCACCGAAGAAAGAAAACTAAAGGAGAAAAGGGCCTTTTAACAGACTTCTCTCAATAAGCCGCAGCTGTTTCCTGATAAAGGGATTTGCTTTTCGACTTTTCCCACACATGCTTTCAGTCTGGAAAGCCTGTGTTGTCTGTTTGGTCTCTTGATTATTGCATAACTTTTACTGTTTCTAAGGTTGTAATTTGAAAGAATCTAACAAATAAACTGATGTACATAAAAAATGAATGCTAAAAAGCAGAAAGAAAACTAATTTCTAATTGTCAGCCAGCTTATCAATAAAAAAAGGTAAAATACAAAGTATTATTACATTAGCTCACAATTTTAGAATATGCCACAGGTGTGGGTGCAGGTGTTTTGGCTAACTGTGAGGTATAGCGTAGTTGTTTCCAGGCAAGTCAATAGGCCTGTCACTACCTACACCACCTAACAAGCGATAATAAAATAAAGAACAAGAAAAGATGTTATTTATTAACAACCAGCACCCTGACAGTGCAACTACATGCACTACCAGAGGCAGGCTGGAAATGTGACATGCCTTGAGCAAAGTAGGAACAATTCTGCATAGCATAAACAGAAAAAGTGGAAATACCATAAAGGGAAAACCATTAAGGTCCCAAACTTTAGCTAATGAGAATTTTCTTACAATGTCAAGCTTTTCAGAATCTCTTTGTGGCTCATCCTCAGTCTAAAATATAGCTTGATCAGAATATCCCTGCCCATCCAGTTATTTTGTTCCTCTGTTTCAGAAGGTCCAGGTCCAGAGCAGTCGATGGTGCGAGTATGAGGGGTCACTAATGTTGTTACGGGCTCGGTACGCGCAGTGCTGGGATGAAATGTCTTTTATGGAGGGAAGGGGAGCCCCAATGATCCTATCTGCTATTCTAACTACTCTTCTTACTCTTCCAGTCAGAGGCGCTGCAGCCTCCACACCACACAATGAGACAGCTGGTTAAAACGCTCTCTATTGTGCTTCTGCATGAGTTCATGAGG